GGGGAATGGGTACTTTGATCTTTTCATAGTTTCCTTCTTGGTAAATAAATGTGTATTTTCAAGCTGAATCTCATCGTGCAATTTCCTGCCAACTTTAGTTCTCTGTAAAACTTACCTTCACTTTTTCCATCTCTGCCCCCAGGCATTCAACACTTTACCTTTTGAATGTCTAGATTGAAATAAAATATTTTAGAGAAATAAGGCATGTGATAACAGTCCCCACAGCCTTCCTCCCCCCCACCCACCCCCAGCATGACAGTAATTTGGTCCTCTGTGTTTACTCAAACTTCACAATTGCCCCCTGATTTATATTAAATGTAGCTACATTTGAAGACTTAGAGGTAATCTAAGTGGAAACAGCTTGACTCTCTAAAGAAAAAAAATAAATAAAAATCAGAGTAAAATAATTACAAACGAATTGGAAGAACAGACCCAATTTTGTCACTAATAATTTTTAGAATTTGTAGCGTGTCATTTGTTATTACTCTCCGTTTCCACCTCTCCAGCCAAAACAAGTTCTAAGCCCATTTGGATGTATTTTTATGGATGAAGTCAATGAATTTAACATGATAACTTTTAAACCATTTTAAATCCGAGTAAATTATGTAGTGAAATCCTATTCATTTGGATTTTGTCCATGTTTGCCATGATTTAGATACGGGCTGGTTTAAAGTTTACTTTTCCAGTTACTGTGGGAAAGAGTTTACTAGGGAAATAATATAAGGAAGATTTTTCAATCTATTTAAAAAGTCAGATGGCTTCCAAGTACTTGAAAAAGTTTTGATATTTTCAGTTTGCATATAAATAACTTATTTTGATAATGGTCAATGACTATCAAGGTTTCTGACTTCACTGATATTTACACAGGACTTTCTAAGCTTACAAAACATTTCTGAGAGTCAGGATTTTGGTTCCCACTATATAGAGACATTCATTCATTTCTTCATTTAACAAATATTTTGTTGAATACCTTCCATGTGCCAGGCATTGATCCAGGTGCTAGAAAGAAAACTGCCAGATTAAACCAGGACCTACACCCAAGTTCTGTTCATCCTCTCACCCCCCTCCCTCACACACCCTAGGGACACCCCCACTAAGTATTGAACCTGGAAGGCCCTTTAAAGACAGAGGATATGTTTCAGCTATCTGACTTCTGAATGCCCAGTATCTAGAACTGAGTTTGGCACCTAGTAGATGCTCAACAAACATTTGCTGAATGACAAACTCCTGATCCTAGTCCAGGGCTCATTTGCTAGAACACAGCTAATACTTGTTTAGAGTATTAGCTGTTAGGTGCTGGGCTAAGAGGTGGGTAGTATTATTATTCTCTTCACTTAAGAGATGAGAACGATGAAAAATAGAGAAGAAAAAAAATTCGAAAGTAACTTGCCCGGGGTCACATACCTAATAAGTGGTAGAACCAGAATCTGGGTGCAGGAAAGTTTGATTCTGATACTACCCTCTAAAGGTAACTCTGCCTCTATGGCTAACTCTGAACTGTTAGGTAGCTTTGTGCTAAAATTCAAGATCCGTAAAGGCAGGGATTTTGGTGTGGTTTGTTTTTTCTTAGAGTAATTTGCATTTTTTCCCATTTTTAAAAAATTTAAATTCAATTTGCCAGCAGGGATTTTTGTACTTTCGTACTACTGTATTTCCAGAGCCAAGAACGTGCTTGGAACGCTTTGGCCCCAGGTATGCTCTCGGGACAGATATAGGTGGAATAACTAGTTTCATTAAAGATGATCTAACAGGACCTTCATTTGCACGTTGTTTGACATTTGCTGTGTTATTGACAATAGTAGACGCTGTGGGTTGCTATTTCCAGCCCATTGCTCCAGTGGGAATGGCTCTGATTCTGTGTCCATGTCTTTCACACATCACTCAGGTAAGAGGCATCCTTGGTACTGCTCCGTGGTAAGATCCCAGTGGATATGAGCCAGTGAGTTTCAAGTCAGTGTGATTCGGCAGTGTCTGGAGGCATCGTCCTAATAGGACATGTCCTAATAGGGGGCATGTTGTGCTACTGACATCCAGTGGGTAAAGCCCAGGGGTGCTGCTGAACATTCTGCAGAACCCAGGGCAAGCTCCCCACAAGGGAGAGTCATCCAGTCCAGGATGTCAGTGGTGCTGAGATGGAGAAACCCTGGTCAAAGCCAATGACAGCGGTTCCATTTCTCCTGCGGTGAGTGCTTTAGCTCTGATCACAGGAAGTAATTCCGGTCAATGAGACGTGAGCAGAAGTCCACATGGGGAGTGTGCTGGAGAATATTCATGACCCCCCCCCCCTTGTTCATTTTGCCTTTTCAGTAGCAGCAGTCCTCCAGGGTGAGCCAGGCAGATGCCCAACTACTGTACTTCTCAGGCTCCCCTACTGCAAGGTGGGGCCATGTGACGGTGTTGGTCCACGAGCCGTGAGAAAAAGTGTTGAGTCTAATTTCCGGAGCACGTTTTTAATAAGGAGATTGCTATTGTCATTCACGGTGTCTCTTTTCCACTTTCTTCAAACTGGCAGTTGATATTTGTGATCCAGCTTGAAGCAAATGCGCAACTCCAGGGCATGGCACGGTAACGAGATAGACTTAGTTACGTGGGGATTGGCACATGAGAGATAAACAAGCTTTCCTGTTTAAACCATCGTATTTTTGAGACTTTCCGTTCTAGCCGCTTAACTAGTATTCTAAGATGGAGTGCTTCTGACTAAGCATTTCCTCTCTGATAAAACACACATCCTTACACACTCACACCTACACACACACACACACGAAATGGCTGTTTGTCCAAAGAATGCTGTGGGATTTATGTGGAATGTCTGGAACCATGGCTGCCATCTTGTGACCATGAGGTAAGGTAGCCAGAGGGTCAAAGCTGACCTTCTAAGTGAGAATGGCATAGGATAGTTGTAAAAAACTTAAATCTTTCTAGACATTGTTGAAGCATTGAATTAACTAACTTTGTTTCTGTCCTACCACGGGACTTCTTGTTGAGCAAGCTAGTAAATTCACAGTATCATAACAGTTATTTTGAGGTGTTCTTTTAAAAAGAATTATAGCCCTCTCCTAACTGATTCCCTCTATGTATTCGAGCATAAAGATTTTTTGTGTCATTATAAGAATTCGGAATTTTTTTTTACCAACTTATCTTGCCTTTCTCCTTATTTGCTATGCCCTCTCCAAGTTAATTTGAATCTGTGAGGTTTCTATACTTGAGGTGAGTGTGTGGGAAAAACATGCACTACAAATCCTTTGAGGAAATGAGGATGCAGGGCAGCAGTAATTGCCACTGTGATGCTTCTTGCTTAGAATGAAGTTGAATGGGAGGCTCGGTTTCCAAAAAGTCAAGAGTAGGAATTGTGTGGGCTGTGAGCTGCAGCTGTGGTGGTGGTGATAGAGTGGAGGTGTGGGGTCACCCTCAGGGAATGCTGGGTCCACGTCAGTGGTACCCCCTAGCATTCTGCAGTGCACGATCTGCTCAAATACCGTCGGTCCTCCCAGATTAGAGGGTGCCCACATCCAGTATTTTCAACCAATTATTTCCATCTCCTTTGCTCCCTCATGGCCCTTCCCTAGTTGTGCTGTTTGGACGCTCCCTGAAGCCTGAAGCTCATGCTAACGGGTTTGCAATGAAGGCACACTCCTCAGGTGACCTTGAAATGATGGCAACGGCTGTTCCCTGGAGGCAATGACAGATCCTCTCTGCTTTCCTATTGGCAGGTGATGGAGAGAAGGGCCTTTGCACTCTCTGTTTTTTACATCTAGGCACCCACCACGGAAAGGCCAGCGTGCAGGTGAATTTCCATTCACTTCCTACCAGCAGCCAGCCGCTCCTTTTGGACTCATCTTGAATCATTTGCCAGACCAGCTAATTAGTCTCTTCACCTTTCCTGAAGCTTCACCAGGGAAGGGATATCACAAGCAGCAACTCCCTCATTATCCCACTTCTTCTAAGCACTGTGATTTTCAGTGCCCGCCATGGGAGAGGAGCTAATTTGCACGAGACTCTTTAACCCTTCCTTGAAAGACTTCGGTCTCAATCCTTCTCTCTCCTCTCTCTCTCTCTCTCTCTCTCTCTCTCATACACACATATACATGCACACACACAACATCTACACCCTCATCCAAAGTAGGAAAAAGGTGAGAGTACGCAGCATTCAAGAGTACATTTGAAAGTGAGACATAATTTCAGATGGAATTGTAATTGAGAGAGATCATGATTCGATTTAAATACGGTCTGGAAGGAAAAATACAGGGATTGTATTTCCCGATCCCCACTACGGCACAATAAAGACTTTTTCCTAATGTATGGAATGTGTTTGTATGAAAGAATTTGCGTAATGGTGTAAAATCAATTTGTATTGTCTTAGATTTAATAAGTTATCTTTATTAGGAAAAAATATAATTATACCTCTCATCCCCCAAACCCAGGATGAATGATTGGTTACCTTCCACTTGGGCCAAAGAGATTTCTCCCAGTTCTGTCATCTAGGGCATCTACTCGAATATTGTTACTTCCATGATACCTGAGCACAGTGTCCATAGGCTGGACACAGTGGGCAGCTGTTTCAATACTGTGGCCCATGAAGCAAGGGAGAGGGAGATAAAGATATTTGTGGGGCGGACTCCGTGCACAGAAGGTTAGACCTATTTGTTCTTCCACTTTCTGCTGTCATTCCTGCAACTTCTTTTTTTTAAATTTATTTATTCATGAGAGACACACAGAGAGGCAGAGACATGGGCAGAGGGAGAAGCAGACTCCCTGAGGGGAGCCTGATGTGGACTCGATCCCAGGGCTCTGGGATCACGCCCTGAGCCAAAGGTAGATGTTCAACCGCTGAGCCACCCAGGGGTCCCTCCTGCAACTTCTCTGTGTCCTGCGAATACTGCATATGGGAACGGAGGGATTTGAACTCCTCATGATGACTGGGGTGTTGGTTAAGGCCTGGACGTAAGGCCAACCCCACGAGGACACCCCACCCTGAAGCAAGCTCATTTTCCTAATCACAGGACTTCTGAACTTCAATGAGCAAACATCATGAGGTGTTCGGAGCGGTGCTGGGTACACAGAACACAACACCTGCGGGCCGGCCGCCCTCCAGTCAGCGCCGTGTGCAAACACGCCATCAAGGCAGGTTTGGTAAGTGGATGACTGTTCAGTTCTATGCACCCTGGTAGCTTGAGCTGTCTCAGAAGATCTGTCCTCCTGGTTGGTTCTTTTTCTTGTATCCTTTCCCAAAAGAGGCATGAGCCCAAGGCCTGAACGAAGGGCTCCCCTTGCGACTCTGTTCCAGGCGATGAAGCTTCTGATGGGCTAAGCGGGGGACCCCTGTTGGCAGTGAAAGAATAAAGGAAGCTGGAACCAGCGGGATAAAGCTGCTGCAAGTCACTGCAGGAAGTAGCAGTTGCCTCGAAAAATGCAGTTGCACCAGATTTTCTATCTAAGAAGGAGGGTTGGTCCCTCTGGAGTGGAGAGGGCTGAGGGTTCCTTCGAGAAGGAACTAACTCCTGTAAATCAGGAAACCTCAAAGTATCGACGGTCCAAGGGAAGGCCAGGCACCTCCCCAAAGTGAGTCATTTGCTCCCGCTGAACCCGGAAGCCCAGGCCCAGTCCTGCCCCTTTCCTTACTCTGTCCCCCAAGAATGTGGTCTGGGAGCTGGTGTACACCCTTTGGGGCCGATGGCCCCCTGCACATTGTTTCACAGCCTGGCGGCCTCTCTGACGCCCTCCCGCCCAAGCCTGCACCCAGGTCGCACCCTCTCCCATCACCCAGGGCCCCACTTGGCTCTCGCACCTGTCCTGGGGCCTGCTAATTGTGAGACCTTCCATTTTACAAACCAATTAAAAGCCAGAGATTGGGCTGGGAGAGCAAAGCGCCTCCTTCCTCTTGTTCCCTCACTCCAGCCTCCGGCCAGGAAGCACTCTGTGTTTTGAAGAAAGCAAGAGTAAGTTGCCCGGGAAGGCTTCTCTGGGGTTTTCCTTGGGGCCATGGAAGGGTTTGGAGCTGGACTGTACTAAAAGCCGCAGAATCATCCCCTTGAACGTGGTGAGTTTTATGGTGTGTGATTTTCAACTCAGTGCAAAACGGAAGTTGCCTTTCCCACCAAGTTGTGGCCCAGATTCTCAGGTGACCAGGCTCAGGAGAACATGGTCCATGGAGCAGAGAGGAGAGGCACCGAGGGGAGTAGCTGGGGCCTGCCCCCTCACAGCCTGAGGCGGGCGGGGGGCGGGGGCGTAAGGATAAGGAAAGAGAGTAGTCGAGCCCAGCTGGCCCGGGGTGTGGGCTGAGGCAGCTCAGGGCTGAGGCATCTGCTAGCCACTGAGATAAAGCTAAAAGGCCTCAAGGTTTCATTTTTCTAAAAGGACCAACACTTCTTCTCTGGCCAAAGAGTCCCTCTGGCTGGGTCCGTGACAACTGGCCTTTCAGGGTTCTCTGCATTAAGTCCTTTGTTCTTTCCATCAGTAAATCCTGCTGGAGGTCCACAACAGCCTCTCAACTGGTTGAAAGGCTAATTATCAAATAAGCCGGCATTCACAGAGTTTCCTTTCACTTCTGTCTTTCGGAGAAGCTTCTGGAGGCACCCTGTATCTGGGTTAGACTTGTCAGGGAAAATACAGGGTGCCCTGTCAAATTTGAATTTCAGATAAAGAACAAATATATTTTAAACACAAGTATATCCCATGCGATCTTTGGGACGTAATTGTATGATAAACAAGTGTTCATTCCTTATTTGTAATTCAAATTGGCTGGGATGGGCCTGTATTTTTATTTGCTCCATCTGGTAACCTGGGAAGGCCTCTGGAATTCTGAACTGATAGGGTTACAGGCTATGCTCAGGTTGCGAGTTTAGAGCGAGCGGGATGGTCTCCTCTGGGGCTCGCACTACCCCATCAGCCTCCCTCTCCACCACCCTCCCGTGAATATTCAGTCTCCCAAATGATTGTGCAGCTTTAAATACCAAAAGCCTCAAATTTGTAACAAATGCTAGGTCTGGTGGCAGTAGTTGCCCCTGTGATGTACACCAGGTGGGCCGCAGCCGCGGCCTTGAAGCTTCCAAATGCAAACAAGCTGTGATCAGAGGGAATGTAAAAGGGGCTGCTCAGGCCAATCCCACCGTAACCCAGCTCCTGAAGAAGACGGTGTCTGCAGGACCCGCTTCTGGTAGAAAAGTTCCTAGAGAGCTGTTAGAAGCTGGCCATTCTGGACTTAGACATTCTCCTCCTGCTTCTGTTCTCCTGGGTTATCCTCAGGCCACTGAAGGCTCTGTGAGGAGGGAGCCTAAGCATAGTGGGGAAGGGGTTTGATAAATAGGAACGTACCACAGCCTGATTGTGCTCTCCTGGCTACAAGCTGGACCATCGTTAGTTTAAAATATATATATTATTCATGAGAGAGACACAGAGAGAGAGGCAGAGACATAGGCAGAGGGAGAAGCAGGCTCCCCACAAGGCACCTGATGTGGAACTCGATCCCAGGACCCCGGGATCATGACCTGAGCCAAAGGCAGACGCTCAACCTCTGAGCCACCTAGGTGCCCCTGGACCACCATTGTTAATGCCCACTTGCCTCAGCTAAGATCCAGACTGAAGTACTAGACAATAGAAAGAAGAGAACTGTCTGTCAACATCTAACCCCTGGAACTGATTGACAAGACTGGTACTACACCGCCGCCCCCCACCCCTTCATCAAGCTCATCGTTCTGCCCCTTTGCTTCATTTGCTAGGAGATTGATGGTGGGGGAAGAAAGGCTTGGCCCTCCTGGTGGAACTCACCCGAGTCCACCCTACCCTGCAAAGTTCACACGACTCTGCGATAGGCTGAGGTGACAGTCTTGTCATGTGTGTCTCCCTAGGTGGAGGCAGTCTGCCAGACCCCCTGAAACACACAATGCTTTGGCTCCCACTCAAAAACACCAACATTCATTGCCGACAATGTCCCCACCTACCACCCGTCCCTACCCACCCCTTCCTGGAAAATGTGATGGAGGAGGGTAGTGGGCCAACTCCAACACCACCTGGCCCTCAGCAGCAGACCTGGACACTGGCCCGGAAGCAGCCCTGGCCCAGTGCACAGACAACTCCTTGGGGAGGTACACGGGGTGGCACATCCTTCTTCTCACAGCTTTAGCTTCCTGTGAGGCTGTGGAGTCACCTCTGTTGGTTTAGGTCTCTCTGACCTTGGATTATATGGGAAACAGAGGCCAGTGGGTGAAATTGGGAGGCTGAGCTATGATATGTCACTATCCGGCTTAGGGTGGGACACTTTGTCCCCAAAGAGGGAGGGTGACTTCCCACCACACCCAGCCGCAGCACAGCCTACAGTGGCCCGCCCCTTCTCCCTGTCTAACTCTAAAAATATATGCCACGTACGATGGCCCAGTTGCCTTCGGAGGTAATCCAAACCTGGTGAAGGAGCTAACACTCAATTCTTTGTCTGCTGCTTCAGGAAGTCTTAACTCCCTTTAGGATAGCTGGGGTTTGGAGCCTTTTTTGAGGGGGGTGGGTAGTAACTGGAAAATATAAAAGCAGACTTTCAGAGGTTTGCTCCCCTCAACAAACCACCTCAGGGTGGTTCCAGCAGCAACTGACTGAAGTCATGTGCTCACATCGATTTTCACTAATCCAGAAATCTTGTAAATACGATATGTTTCTCTCAAACGTTTCAAACTGGAAGTGGCTCTATCACACTTGCCTAGTCAGACAAAACACCCGGCAGCCTCTGCCAGATCCCAAAGGGAGAAGACGACTGTAAGCGAAATTTGGCTCACTCAACATGGTCCTTGAGAAAGACTAAACAACACAATCACTAACATAACAGGAGAACCTGATGGTAGGACAGATCTTCCTTCCTCTGTAGACTCAGCAGAGTCACCAAATTTCCTACTCACACACAACCTGTTGGGGTCATTCAGATTACTGAAGTGAATGAAACAAGAGGGATTCTATTTCCTCTCAAGTTTTCTCTAGCCGCCCTTGCCCTTTACGGAGGGTCTTTCATGTGTCACTTGTCAAATTTCTTCTCAGCCTGGAGAAGAGGGCTGTGGAAGGCTGTGTGGGAGGTCTCAGGTCCGAGGAAGGGAGGGAGGGGGTGCAGATACTATCTGACTAAACCCCATCAGCCTGGACTCAGTCATATGGCCCCACTTAACTGCAAGGGAGTCTGGGAAATGTAGTCTTGCTGTGCGTCCAGGGAGAAGAGGAAACAGAATTTGGTGATCACTGGCTATCACTGTTAGCTCTGCCGCCACTATATGGGCCCAATGTGTCCACATCTCTTTTTCTTCCACATCTGCTGTCCCACCCCCAAGTCATCTGACTGGTCCACTTCCACTCTGCCCTCTACTTTTGCATTCCCACTACCTCTTCCCACAACTTTCTCTGCAATATCCAAGGTAACATTTTCTGGCTTATGATCAAATGATGACGCCTGCGATTTGCTTCAAATAATACAGTGGGAGAGGGAGGCTGCTGGAAACGTAGGTGATATGTATTGATCATTGTTGGAACTGGGTGATGGGATTGGGGAACTTTATTATATTTTCTACTTTTGTATTTGCTTGAGATTTCGATAATAAGGTTTTTTAAAAATAGACTTTTAGAATGTAAATTAGGTTATATCCAGGATGACTGCTTATCATGATGCAGTTGTGCTCTGCCCAAACGTGCCGGGCCAGCATCTCAGGGACACTAGCATCCTCACAGAGGAGACTCCATAGCAAGTGGTGCCCATCCTCATGCCTTTCCTCTGTTTAAAACCTGTGGATGACTTTCCAATGTAATTGGTATATGGTGATTTTTTAAAAATGCCCAACTTGGCAAAATTGGGGCATTTTGTCAGCAGAAAGTCAGCAATCTGATGTCTATAGTCCTGTTGTTGCTATTATTGTTATTATAGGCTGAATAGTGGCCCCTGAATAGGTTCCATCCTAATTTTTGCAACTTGTGAATGCTATCTTACATGACAAAGGGACTCTGCAGAGGTGATTGAAGGAAGGGTCTTGAGATGGGGAGAGTCTCCTGGATTGTCTGGTTTGGCCCAATGCAGTCACCAGGGTTCTCGTAAATGAAAATAGAGAGGCAGACTCTGCAGGAGAGGCAGAGTCAAAGAAGGAGGTGAGATGCTGGTAGCAGAGGGTGGA